CCGGAGACTCTGCGAGTCGGCAATGGTACAGGTTTGCCTATTGTTAATGTTGGTTCTACTTCGTTAGCCACTGATTCTATGTCTTTTAAGTTACATGAGGTTATGCATGTCCCTGGTCTCTCTTCTTCTCTATTATCTGTCCAGCGTGTTGCAAAGGAAAATAATGTTTTCTTTAAGTTCCACCCTCTTTGTTTCTATGTGAAAGACATTTTGACCAAGAAGGTTCTTTTTAAGGGACATGCGTCTGGGGGTCTCTACACATGGCCTGCGTCTTCTGCTTCCCCTGCTGCATTTGTTGCTGCATGGTCCTCTTACGTTTGGCACATGCGGTTGGGGCATCCTCATTCTCGAGTCTTACGTAAAATTTTAGCGTCTTCGTCTGTTGGTACATTTAATTCTAGTGATCTTCCCAATGTCTGTTCCTCTTGTCAATTAGGAAAATCTTCTCGTTTTCCTTTGTCTCGTGTTGAAACTACTAGTACGCATCCTTTGGAATTAATTTATTCAGATATTTGGGGCCCTGCGCCATTACTTTCTGCGTCTGGCTTTAAATATTTTGTGTTGTTTGTGGATGATTACACTCGTTATATGTGGTATTATCCCATGCGTGCTAAATCTGATTTGTATGCTATATTTGATAAGTTTCGGTCACTAGTTGAACGTTCCTTTTCTCGCAAGATTATTTCTTTTCAATCTGATTTAGGGGGAGAATATAAAAAGCTTGGTTCCACTCTTGCGTCCTTAGGTATTCGTCACAGGCAATCATGTGCGTATACTCCTGAACAAAATGGCAGGGTGGAACGTAAGCATAGGTATGTTGTTGAAATGGGACTAGCATTAATGGCTCAATCCTCTGTTCCGTCTCGTTTTTGGGATTATGCTTTTGAAACTGCGGTTTATCTAATCAATAAAATGCCACTCATGTCTTATCTGATAAATCTCCTCATTATCTTTTGCATCGGTCTCCTCCATCTTATTCATATCTGCGTGTTTTTGGGTGTTTATGCTTTCCAAATCTGCGTCCCTATAATCGCAACAAACTACAGTTTCGGTCATCCCCTTGTGTCTTCTAGGATATCCTCCATCTTTTCGTGGCTATCGTTGTTTAGACACCAACACTAACAAGGTTTTTATCCATCGCCATGTGCGATTCGATGAGGCTGTCTTTCCTTTTGTTGCTTCTGTGGATTCGCAGGTTCCAAAACCACGCCCGGAGCCGTGGGGTGTTGCACCAATTGTTTCTGGTGGTGATCCGACTGTTGTTACGGCTCGTGACCCTCCTGCCGCGCCCATAGTCGCTTCTGACCACCACCGCCAGCAGCCTGCTACTGCCGAGTCCGTGACCGAGTCCGAGCGAACAGTCACGAACTAGCCGGCTCCTCGGCCAAGAGGCCGGCCTCGTGGTCGGTCTCGTCACGCGCCCTCACCCGTTCGCTCTCATGGAATGAATACGAGAAGTTCGGGACCACATGATCATGTTGCTTTATCTGATGCTGCTGTTACTCCTGAACCTACATGTTTTACTCAAGTGGTTAAATTTCCTGAATGGCGGGATGCAATGGATTTGGAATTTAATGCCTTGGTGCACAACAATACATGGAGGCTTGTTCCCTTTAAATCAGGTATGAATGTAGTTGGATGTAAGTGGGTGTTTAGAACCAAGAGAAAGGCTGATGGTTCGATTGAGCGTTGCAAGGCTCAATTAGTTGCCAAGGGATTCATTCAAATTGCCGGCGAGGATTTCTTTGAGACCTTTAGTCCCGTTGTTAAACCGACTACGGTACGTCTTCTTTTATCTTTAGCTATTTCTCGTGGATGGACTATTCGACAGTTGGACATACACAATGCTTTTTTAAATGGCAATCTCGCTGAGACGGTTTATATGCGCCAGCCCCCTGGTTATGAAGACAAAACGATGTCCGGGCACGTTTGTCTCCTTCAACGTTCTTTATATGGGCTTAAGCAAGCTCCCCGTGCTTGGTTCACTCGTTTGCATGATTTTCTGGTTTCTGCTGGTTTCTCACCTTCCAAGACGGATGTCTCTCTATTTATATATTCACATGGTAATACTCGTTTATATTTTTTGGTTTATGTGGATGATATTTTGGTTATGGGATCTGATCCGGCTCATGTGACTGCTATTATTGACAAGTTGGCTCTTGAGTTTAAAGTTCGTGATATGGGTGTGCCCTCGTTCTTTCTGGGTATTGAGACCATTTCGTTGTCTGATGGCATGCTTCTGTCTCAACAACGGTACATGAAGGATATTCTAAAATGAGCAGGTATGGTTGATTGCAAGCCCGTGGCTACTCCGGTTTCAACCACGAAGGCCGAGACTGATGCCGTGGTACCATACACTGATCCCACTCAGTATCGCAGCTTTGCAGGTGCTCTGCAATATCTTACAGTAACTCGGCCTGATCTTTCCTATGCAGTCAATCGTTTATGTCAACACATGCACTCTCCCTCTACTACGGATTGGGCGGCTCTCAAGAGGGTGTTACGGTATGTAAATGGGACACTACATCTTGGTCTTAAGATTACGTCTTCTCCTTCTCTAGATATTCATGCATATTCTGATTCGGATTGGGCTGGCAATCCTGATGATCGCAAATCTACTAGTGGTTTTGCTGTATTTTTGGGGACCAATCTTGTCTCATGGGTTTGTCGAAAACAACATACTGTGGCTCGTTCATCAACTGAGGCTGAATACAAAGGACTGGCTGATGTCTCTGCAGAGGTTACTTGGCTTGTCTCTCTGATGAAGGAAATCGGGTTTGCCCCACCTTCTGTGCCCAAACTCTGGTGTGACAATCTGGGAGCTACTTATCTGTGTGCTAATCCGGTGTTTCATGCTCGCACCAATCACATTGAGATCGACTACCACTTTGTTCGTGATAAAGTCGCGAAGAAGGAATTACAAGTCAATTTTATTTCTACCAAAGATCAGATAGCGGATATTTTTACTAAGTCTCTTTCGTCTGTACGTTTTAATTTACTCCGTTGCAAGCTCAATGTTTTGGCTGACCAACCTTGTGCTTGAGGGGGAGTATTAGGACTATTAGGACTCTATTATCCATATTAGACTAGGACTATATTATTCGTGTTAGACTAGGATTCTATCTAGCATCTCTATATATTCGCTCCCTGTACTCTCAGACATTATCATTGAATACAACACAATTATATTCTCATCATATGTTCATAATTTTCGATGTTCATATTTTCAATTGTTGAACTCCGTTTTCACAAATCTCAGAACTATATGTTCATAATTTGATAACTATACAGTTTATAAATTATGAATCTACAGTACAGAAATTATGAATCTACAGTACAAATATCAAATTATGAACATATAGTTATGAATCTGCAGTATAGAAATTATGAATCTACTGTATAGAAATTATGAATCTATTGTATTTAAATTATGAATCTACGGTTTAGAAACTATGAATCTAAAGTATAGATCTTATGAATCTACAATATAAAAAGTATGAATCTACAGTATAAAAATTATGAATCTATAATATAGAAATTATAAATCTATAGTATAGAAATTATGAATATGGAACCGTGCCCACCTTGTAAGGTGGGCACCATTTCGCAGCATAACGTTCCCTTATATCGCAAATTATGCCGTGGAAACGTGTTCACCATGCTTGGTGAACACGGTCCCAAACAACATCGTTTTTACAGAAAAAAAATTAGTTAATGTGCTGTTAACGGCGTTTTGCATTCTATATTCAGATTATGAATTTATATTTATTAAATTATTAATTTTTTGTTATGAGATTATGAATTTACAGTTATGTAATTATGAATTTTCTGTACATTCATAATCTCATAACATAAAATTCATAATCTCATAAAAGAAAAACATTTATTAAATTATAAATTTTCTGTTATGAGATTATGAATTTACACTTATGTAATTATAAATTTTTTGTACATTCATAATCTCATAACAAAAAATTCATAATCTCATAACAGAAAATTCATAATTTTATAACTACACATCCATAAATCCATGCCTGCACATTCATAATTTATGAGTGTTGAAAAAACTTACGCGAAAAGGAAGTGAAACCGCAAAATGTGAATATGAAGAAGAAAAGTCTCGCGGTTAAAAAAAAAAAAAGAAGAAGAAGAAGAAAGAAAGATTGGTGGAAGATAATGGTGCCCGTAGGCACCGTTACTGTTTGGGACCGTGTTTACCATGGATGGTGAACACGGTTCCATGGCATAACGATAGCCTTATATACTGTATGTCTGTATACATATAATTATTTTTTAAAAAAAAAATATAGGGCCCCCAAATTTTGGGGGCATTTGCTTTGCTTAATGCCTTATATACTGTATGTCTGTTTACATATAATTAGTTTTTTTTGTTTGAAACTATGGGGCTCCCAAAAATTGGGGCCCTGCCGACCCTGACAATAAGCTATCAACTAGTCAGGATAGAATATAAATTGCCAAAATTTCTAAGATCATCTACAACATGAGTTATTTGTTGAAGAGAAGAGAGAAGGAATAGGATGTTATAGGGAGAGGAGGATATTGTAGGAGAGGTTTTTGTAGGATTCGAAAGGAATAGGTTGCATACCTTCTTTTTTTTTTTTTTCTCTGTTTTCTTTTTGAAATTTAAAAAGAAAAAATCTTAAAATTTTTTTTTTTCCTTTTCATCATCCTTCTCTACTCTATTTGGCTAAAAAATCTGAGCAAAAAAGAACCTAATCCTCAAGTTGCTGTAAGTATAACTCATCCCCTAACTTCTTCATCTCACCACACACTATGAGAAATTTATACCATCTCACTTCATCCTACCCAGCCCGAATTCAATTCCTCTGCAATGTCAAGTCTGATTCAAATAAACGATAAGTAGAAAAGCAAATGCCTGAAGGTATCCTACAAGTTTCAATAACTGCCTACTAGCACTTCTATCATATCTTTAAAAGACAAAAACCAAGAATCATTGAATACTATTCCTAAAGGAAAAGTTTAAGAGATATGCAAATATTATATATGGAAAGATCATCAACAATTTGTCGATTTACAACAGGAAATTCACACTGCCAAACCAAGAATCAAGTTATTGACAATTCAAATTTTGGATTGTCTAAAGTACAAATAGGTAGAAATTGGCATCTTAGAAATGAACTAGGCACTACTTGCTGCTGCCACTACCTCCAAACAGGTAATCCAGGGAGGACCCTCCACCTGGTGCAGCATGGACCTTGGTTGAAGGACGATCCTGCAAAGTGAAGATGGCGGGCATCATATTTCACCAATATTTTGTTGCATGATGGGTCTACCAACATAACATTAATTTACAAGAAAGTGTACAAAATAAAAATAAAAATAAAAAAATACTCCATACTACCGAATAAAATACTTCACAAGACAGACTTCTATCACAATATACTAACCACAATACCTAAGACCCAACTTCTCACTTTCTGATCACTTTAGAAAACCATGAAAGCATCCAAACAGAGTGATCTTTTTTTTTTTTAATAAACTACTTAAGCTTTGAAATAAAGAACAATAAATGGTCCAGGAGCAGTTCTAAGTGGTTTATCACTTCTAACAGTGAAGCCGAAGGAAATAAAATAAGAGAGCACCATTTGAACTTTGGTCCAAAGATTAGGTAAAAACCAAAACAAAACTTTTATTTGCAGATAAAAACTCACAGCTTAAGGATAGAATCTTCAATGAGTGGGAAACAAGAAACCTTACTAATAAAGGTGCTTGTTGAGTAAGACCAGCTTTCGAGCACAAGCCCCTTGTATATCTAAAGAAAGGCTTTCTTGTAGTCCCTCCCCTCCCCATAGCACATATATTTTCCTCAAAATAAGTATGTTTATTTTCCTAGAGCTAGGAGGAGGGAAGAAATGAAGGACAAGGTGTTGTGGTAGCCAAGGCTATGAAGCAAATAAAAATCAGCATACTGCTTAAACATAACACGATATACATCATACCGTAAGGAAGTTCCCACAGTTCTGACCATCAGCGCGGAAGTAGTTATTTATTTTGCTCCCGGGTACCCCAGCTGGTATCTGTTTGGTAGCATCTGCAGGTGCAACCGATTTCTGTGGAGTTCCAGCACTAACAGCTGGCCCCTGATTCAGAGGAGCCTCAGCATTGTTAATAGTAGGCTTTGGAGGCTCACCACTACCAAAAAGATAGCCAAGAGAACTCTGCCCCCCACCAAAACTGACTCCACGACCCATGATCCCCTGGCTTGAGTGCAAACTTCTGCACTAAAATTCACCAGTCAATATCCTTAAGAGGTGTAATAAAATTTAACAGTTGTAGAGGAAGAAAATACATACTTCTAATCTATACCTTCCATCACCCTCCATTAAAAGAAGACAATAAATAAATTTAAATACAACAAAACTATCTCAATTGATACCACACGCCCAAAAAAAAAAAACCCCTTTAGCCCTTGCTAGTGTTTCTTGGGTTGTTTGGCTACAAAAGACCCTGTAAAAGCCATTTATTTGAAAAGTAATACTAATTGCTAAAATAACTTCACCAACCAAAGTATTTTATTTACATTATAGATGAAAGGTCCATATCAAATTCCTTATGACAGTAAGCTTAATTATCAAAAGAAAAATTGAGAGAAAATGAGATCCATGAGAATGTGAGATCCTTTTCATTGGAAAATGCTTTTGCAACACATTTTGAGCCTTAGAACAAGATTTCAGTATTCAGTACTCCACAAGATTCAGAGTTCCAGAACTTCCAATTTTCCAGCAACCAACTGAGATCTATTTGATGAGAATTTTTATACACAAAAGTAGAGGCAGAAAATCCATCTCACCCTATCCTGATTTAATCCATTAACTCATACCCATATATGAGAATGACAGAAGTCCACATTACCCCACCGGAATCAAATCCGGTAGTAAGGTAACCAAACACAATCTTCAAAATTCAAATAAAAAAATACACAAAATGCACACACCGACACAAACAAATTGACCTCTGTGGCTGCCATTTTAACATAGCATAAAAAATACATATCCAAATAGCAAAAACTGATATATAAATAACAAATCCAAATAAAATGGAAGATGCTTAATGAAATAGAGATCTACATACAGGACAACGAAAGTACAAACGAATCAAAACGCAAATTCATAAATGAGAGTAACAGTTCGATTCTAAAGAGAGAATCAGAGAACGGACCTTTGTTTAAGATCTGTGGAGAGTGGAAAGCGATAGGGAGATGGCCATGGGGGCGCTTATAATTGAAGAATGAAGAGGAAAGGATCTGCATGGAAGATTGCGGTGGTGGGTGGACTGCTTTGCAAATACGAATGGTATAGGGTTTTCTTTGTAATTTATACATATATATTGTTTTCACTCCTCCAAAATCCAAATCCTCCAATTTGTATTAAGAAAAATGTTTATTTTAGTCCATTAATTATATCTATATTATAAATTCAGTCTATGAATTGTTACATTATACAATTTTTTTCTTTTAATTATATATAAAATGATAATTTTAATTCACAATTAACAGATTCTATATTAAAACTAACATTTCACTTTAAATTTTTAAATTATTAAAAGACATATTAGTTATTTTATAAAATTTTCACAAATCCCCTCCACTAAATCTTCATACATACACGATAACAATTCTCTTCATTTGTAATAATTTTTTTTTTGAAAGCAAATCATATTAGATGATTATATTAAAGATAAACAGCTATAGAGTCTGGAGAGATTGAATCGCAATACAACGTACCAGTCTGATCAAAAGATATAAATAACAGCCCCACTTAGTGTTCGGAAATGCACAATTAAGGTGCGGGGAATTATTGTGTGTTTTTTGGGTGTGTTGTGCATTTTTTTGGTATATTTGTGCATTTCATTGTTGTACATTTTCCTAACACTATTGGTGCATCTTTTAAAGAGGCCGCACGACCGCAGGAGAAGGCACGACCGCAGGAGAAGGCGCGACCGCATTTGAACATATATATATACATATATATATATATATATATATATATATATATATATATATATATATATATATAGGGTCAGGTTCCTGTGAGGTCAGGTTCCTGTGAGGTCAGGTCTTCCCGTGCGGTCAGTGTGGCATACACCATTAGGTATGAAAAATGCACCACACAGTGTTCGTAAATACACCATTATGTGTGGTGTATTTTTTGTTGTGTGGTGTATTTTTTGGCATTTCATTCTGGTGCATTTTTGAACACTGTATGGTGCATTTATGCATACCTAATAGTGTATGCCGCACTGACCGCACGGGAAAACCTAACCTCACAGGAACCAAAAAATATATATAAATATACATACATATACATACATATATATATATATATATATATATATATATATATATATATATATATATATATATATATATATATATACTAGTATTTGTCCCGTGCGATGCACGGAAAATATGTTATAAAAATATACTCTATATGAGGTTTATTCATATATAAAATTTTTGTTATTTAATAATTATTATGTGTGAATTCCTATGATAAAATTATGAACATAAATATATTTACAATTAAAATAATATTTAAGGTGGGTGATTTCTACAAATCTTAAACTATATTAAAAAATTAGTACATAGTATTTAATATTACAACTTTTTAAGAACTTAGTAAACTACAATAGTAATTGAATTACAATTTTAGAGTCACCACGGATCAAAATTTGTAGACCTTTGAGATTTCTAACTCTAGATGTAGCAACATACAATTGACCTTTAAAGACCAAAATCACAATCTTAGTTCGAACATTGATTTTTTCTTCCAAATACTATCGAATTAAGTGTGTAATCAATAAAAGATGAGAACTAATAATTCAAGAATATAATCTTAATGTTACTAAGCCACTTCACGTCAATTAAGTTGGAGAGTGTTGTTCGATAGTATCCGATGAATCCACGAATAACGCATCTTTGTCTCCGTAGTCCTCAATGTGCACATCAACAATCTTAAATATTAGGCTGCCTAGCTATGCCATATATTAATTTCAAACTTATGAACTTTGGGGTTGCATGCAATAAAAAGTATATTTATTTTAAATATACTAAGGGTACATTATATATGTATGTAAGGTACTTTCAATATAAAAATAATGTATTTTTAATATATTAAAAATGTATTTGATATTCATGATCCATACAATTATGTGGATCATCGTTCACACAATAATTTGCTAGTAGAAATTGAAATATAAATAAATAAATAAATAAATAAATAAATAAATATATATATATATATATATATATATATATATATATATATATATATATATATTAGAAACTGTTCGTGGAAATTATTATCATTATTATTATTATTGCAATTATTATTATTATTATCATTATTATTATTGCAATTATTATTATTATTATTATTATTATTATTATTATTATTATTATTATTATTATAATTAACAATATTATTATGATTTTGTGAAAATTAAATGTTGATTATCAACATTTAATTTTCACAATAACAATATTATTATGGTCTTGTGAAAATTAAATGTTGATTATCACCATTTAATTTTCACAAGACCATATTGCTTTAATATATATATATATATATATATATATATATATATATATATATATATATATATATATATATATATATATATATATATATATATATATATATATAAGCGCTCATAGGTCATGTCATTAGGTGTGGCTGTGTGGTCGTATATGTGCCGTTGAATCGTTTTAATCTAACGGCAGTGGCTAATTCTTAAGATTTTCGCGCTTGGGGGTGTTATGGTAATTACAGTGGCCATTTATAGAGACCGGGTTTCAGAATACACCAATAGTGTTGATAAAATGCACCAATAGTGTAATAAAACACACCACAGTGAAACACACCAATAGTGTATTCCCGAACACTGTATGGTGTATTTATTTATATCTAATGGCGCATTTTTGGTGATGCGTACCTAATTTGTGTATGTTTTTTGTTGTGCATTTCATAACATGGATTGTGTATATTTGTATAACAATTGGTGCGATCGCACTGATCACACGGGAAGGCGTTGCCGCACCCGAACTTGGCACCAATGGGAATCTACAAGTACAGCAGAGTAAGGCTAATAATGCACCAATTACACAAATAAAACACACAACAATGTGATTTTTCCTATTCTGGTGCCTTATGACGAGTTTACCCTTGCAGTTCGCTGTGTAGGAGAATGTGAGCAAAAATACTGGAAGAATCTTGATTAATGTGATTCATTAGATCTATCTAATCTAATAGCCTGTAATTGACCATATGACCACACCTAACATATATATATATATATATATATATATATATATATATATATATATATATATATATATATATATATATTGGGAAGGGTACAGGTGCGGGTATAGCTTCCCGTGCGGTTAAATCTGAGCAGTTGATCAAATTTAGATCAACGGCTCAAATCAATGAAAATTAAAAAAAAAAAAAAAACGCGTGCCTGGAACAAAGAAGTATAAGCTAAGGTGCACCTTAAGTGTTAGATCTTAATCACAAACTCACGCATTTTAAGTACAAAACCAACACACATTAAGCACAACCTCACGCACATTAAGCACAAAACCCACGCACTTTAAATATTAACTCACAGACTTTAAGTTTCAACAACTACTGACATTAAGTACAAAACTCACGCACATTAAGTACAAAACCCATGCACATTAAGCACAAACATCCCGCACATTAAGCACAAAACTCACGCACTTTAAGTATTCACTCACAGACTTTAAGTTTTAACAACTATTCACGTTAAGCACATCCCCACGCACATTAAGCACAAACCTCACGCACATTAAGCACAAATCACACGCACATTAAGCACAAAACTCACGCACATTAATCACAGATCCGCTCACCTTAATTTTGACCTAGATGCAAAAATTACAAATTGCCACCGCGTTTTTTTTAAAACTTTGATAATCCTGGACGTTGATTAAAGCGAGATGAATGGCTCAGATTAAACCGCACAACCGCACCTGAAGCCCTCACCCGCACAAGAATATATATATATATATATATATATATATATATATATATATATATATATATATATATATATAGAGAGAGAGAGAGAGAGAGAGAGAGAGAGAGAGAGATATGAAGGTTCAAGTGCGGCGGTGTCTTACGGTGCGGCGTCACCATTAGTTCAACAAATATACACCATCAACGTTAGGAAAATACACCACAAAAATACACACAAATTAGGTACGCATTACCAAAAACACACCATTAGGTATCAGTAAAAACATCATACAGTGTTCGGAAATACACCATTGGGTGTGTTGAGTTACACAATCAGACATCGCCGCATTTGAACTTTCTTTTATATATATATATATATATATATATATATATATATATATATATATATATATATATATATATATATATATATATATATACAACAATGAAATGCAAAAATACACAATACATCCAAAAAAATACATTATATAACTCTCAACCACTAATGGTGATATATATATATATATATATATATATATATATATATATATATATATATATATATATATATATATATATGTAAAAGTACAAATACGGCGAGACCCTCTTGTGTGGTCGTCCGGCGGTTTTTAGAATACACTAACATTGTTAACAATAATCACCAATAGTGTAAGAGAAACACACAACAATGAAATGCAAAAATACACCAAAAAATACACAATACATCCAAAAAAAAATACATTATATAACTCTCAACCACTAATGGTGTATTTTCGAACAGTGTGTGGTGCTTTTAGTCATACCTAATGGTGTGTTTTTGGTGATGCGTACCTAATTTGTGTGTGTTTTTTAGTCCATTTCCTAACGTTGATGGTGTATATTTGCTTAACTATTGCTGTATTTTGAAAACCACTGTCGTTTTTGTGCATTTTTTACCCGGAAACAACTTTGCATTTGATATATATATATATATATATATATATATATATATATATATATATATATATATATATATATTGGCTAACTTTCGGGTGCATTCCATTCTTAAGGTGTGAACTCGTGCATTCATCCGGTGCGTTGATTTTTTTCATCCAACCGCTTTTAATAATCCTGCTTATACTTACCACGCACCGGCATACATGCTAACCGCGGGGCATTTGTGGTAACTCGTGTTGTTGTTGGATTTGAATACAACTATTTACGCCAGTTTTACGGTGATCTAATCTCTACGTTCCCTGCTTGCTCTCCGGCAACGAAGTGGACTCTTTCCGCAAGTT